CCTTCTAAAACAGAAGGGAAGTGAATTTCTAGAGAAAATTGTTCAAGCCTGTTGACAGAATTGAATGCCTAATTATAACAGAAATGCAAACAGGCTAGATTACAATTTAATAGGCTGTAAAAAAAATACATTTTCAGCTGGCGTGGTGTTCTTTCTCCCCTTAAAAGATGCCATTTAAGAGAATTGCAGCCTCTGTATACACAGAAAAAGAAAATACATATTTTCTCTTGGTATCAGAACAATGTTCTCTTTCCTGACTGTTTGCAGGCACTTCTCTTGAAAAACTAAGTCTTAAAAACTGGTCTATATATAGTTTAAAAAAAAATGTGAGTGAAGGTTAGAAATGCTTTTGCACAGTGCATGGAAGTGCAGAAGAATGTATACATAGTTCTTAAGAAAACAGACTTTAGTGAGAATAAGAAACAAAGTTGATTGTTACAAGTCAATGGTACTGCTATTATCAGCCATCATCCAAGGTAATGTATATGTGAACTGCTACAAGAGAAAACTCAGAACAGGGTGACTGCAAATAAGGATGGTGTTTCTAAACATAAGAAAACAGAAACAAGACACCACTTACACACACAGAAGTCTATAGGGCTGGACAGGATCCACCCAAGGGAACTGAGGGAGCTGGTGGATGTGCTCACCAAGCCACTTTCCATCTTTTATCAGCAGTCCTGGCCAACTGGGGAGGTCCCAGATGACTGGAGGTTAGCAAATGTGACGCCCATCTACAAGAAGGACCCTAACGAGGATCTGGGGAACTACAGACCTGTCAGCCTGACCTTGATGCCAGGAAAGGTTATAGAGCAGATCATCTTGAGTGCCATTACATGGCACATACAGGACAACCAGGTGATCGGGCCCAATCAGCATGGATTTATGACAGGCAGGTCCTTCTTGACTAAGCTGATTTACTTCTATGACAAGGTGATCCACTTAGTGGATGAGGGAAAGGCTGTGGATGTTGTCTACCTAGACTTTAGAAAAGTCTTTGATACCGTTTATCGCAGCGTTCTCCTGGAGAAACTGACTGCTCGTGTCTTGGGTGGGTGTACTCTTCACTGGGTGAAAAACAGGCTGGATGGCCAGGCCCAAAGAGTTGTGGCGAATGTGACAAGCTCAGTATTGTTTGTTCACCAAACCTAAAAACTCTCATTGTTACAGTGTTTCATGAAAGGCAGCTGCTTGGCAGGATGGGGCAAGATAGCCAACATCTGCTAAGCAAACAAGGCCAGGCTGCAAGGTCGAGTTATGCTAACATCATAAATTGTGAAAAGGCTTGGGAGGAAAGGAAAGGGGGAGGCTCAGTCAAGTCCTGCTAACATCATAAATTGTGATAAGACTTGGGAGGCTCAGGAAGACATGGAGCCTTCATCCCTGCGACCACCAAAAAGCAAAGGAAGAAAGAGGACGACCCCCTAGCAACAAACCGCGCAGACGCAGAGTACACCACTAAGAGAAACGCCTACACCAGAAGTAGAAGAGTATAAAACCAAAGACTTTTGTAACCTAAGTGCGCGCCGTCGGCGGAGTGAGACTCCCGGGCCGCCCAGCGCTGTTTTGCTTGCTGCCGCTTGCTAATAAATCCTTCAAATTTAATTGGCTCTGTCTCCTCGCCTCACTTTGTGAGACTAACTTATAACAGCGAATGGAGTTAAATCCAGTTGGCAGCTGGTCACAAATGGTGTTACCCAGGGCTCAGTATTTGGGCTGGTTCTGTTTACTGTCTTTATCAATGATCTGGATGAGGGGATCGAGTAAGTTTGCAGATGACACCAAGTTGGGTGGGAGTGTTGATCTGCATGAGGGTAGGATGGCTCTACAGAGGGATCTGGACAGGCTGGATCAATGGGCTGAGGCCAATGGTATGAAGTTCAACAAGGCCGAGTGCTGGGTGACCTGCACTGGGGTCACAACAACCCCGTGCAGCACTACAGGCTTGGGGAAAAGTGGCTGGGAAGGGGCCTGGCAGAAAAGGACCGGGGGTGTTGGTTGACAGCCAGCTGAATATGAGCCAGCAGTGTGCCCAGGTGGCCAAGAAGGCCAATAGCACCTTGGCTTGTATCAGAAATAGTGTGTCCAGCAGGACTAGGGAAGTGATCGTCCCCCTGTACTAGGCACTGGTGAGGCTGCAACTTGAATTTCAGTTTTGGGACCCTCACTACAATAAAGACAGTGAAGCGCTGGAGCGTGTCCAAAGGAAGGGCAATGAAGCTGGTGAAGGGTCTAGCGAACAAGTCCTATGAGGAGCGGCTGAGGGAAGTGGAGTGGTTTAGCCTGGAGAAGAGGAGGCTGAGGGGAGACCTTATCGCTCTCCAAAGCTACATGAAAGGAGGTTGTAGCGAGGTGGGGGGTCTGTCTCTTCTCCCGAGTAAGAAGCAATAGGACAAGAAGAACTGGCCTCAAGTTGCACCAGGGGAGGTTTAGATTGGCTATTAGGAAAAATTTCTTGACCGAAAGGGTTGTCAAGCATTGGAACAGGCTGCCCAGGGAAGTGGTTGAGTCACCATCCCTGGAGGTATTTCAAAGACCTGTAGATGTGCTGCTTAGGGACATGGTTTAGTGGTGGACTTGGCAGTGCTAGGTTAATGGTTGGACTTGATGATCTTAAAGGTCTTTTTCAACCTAAATGATTCTATGATTCCTAGAAGTCTCAGCCAGATGCTCTCGCTATTTTCCTCCAAGAGCAGGAGGAAAGGATTTCAAAAGCTTTGATTTTGCTCATTATTATCCCCATTTTTCTTCTAATCCAAGAATTCAGATTCAAGGTCATGCTAAAGCTGCCCTAACAAGTAGATATAAGCTGGCAATGTGCCTGCCTACATAATAGAAATTCTTATGGTCTATACAGCAGTAATGCAAATCAGGAATATTTCAGGAACCTTCACATTGTTCTCAGTTGCGCATCAGGGAAGTAACCCTGAAGACAATGGCTTGGAGTCTTCATGTTTCATATTGCCTTTATGTTTCCCTTGCTGACCTGAACCCTGGCCACACAGTCGTTCTGCAGCACTTTTCCGGCATGTGTCTTACTGGGAAGTTCCCTAGTGAATCTCTGCACTGAAAGTGAGCCCTTTGCACTATGACTCAGTTTCAGAACCAAACAATGCCTCTGGCAGGAGGAGTCACAAAAATGATTGCCATCAGTGACTGATTGCCCCAGTTTTGATTTCTCTTTTTTCATATTTAAGTTTTCATGTAACAAAAAAAGTAGCATTTTAATATTGAAATATATTATAGCACTTGGAAATTTTCAGAAGGGCACAATGTATAGTTTTGGGCAATTACAAAGGTATGTTCAAACCACAAAAATAATACAAGGGATATCATTCATTTTGTACAACAATTTTAGACTTGTTTTAAAACATAACATGGTATGCATCCAATTTCTACTGTGTTTATTAGGGTTCAGTATACACTATTTCTCTTTGCTAATCAAGTAGACTATTATCCAATCAAACCAAAAACTTTTTGAAAACATCTAATAAGGAGAGTGCTCCAAAAGCAAATCTTATTCACCATTAACTCCCTGTTATTAAAATAATTATATAATGGACTTACAGACGTCTTTAGCTCTGAAAGCGGAGTCTGCTACACTTTGCCTTGACCTCTTCTGTTGCGTAGTTGTCCTCACCTGTTGAGAAGACAGTAACAAAATTCATTAGTTTGGTGGGATTTAGAAGATTTTGGAAAAGTTTAGTCTTTTATCCAAAAATAGCTGCAAATAAAGTAACTTCATTAATTTTATACATATATCACATGCTATATATGAAGAGATGAATGCTGTGGCGGTCTGATTCTGCACCGATCAATAGGAAAAAGTGCAATTAGCTTGAAAGAAAAAATGAAGGACCTAAATAAACCTCAGTTTAGATGAATGTGAGGATTATATCTATACTATACAATTTATTTATTTATTTCCTCAGTAAGTTGTTCTGACTTTTTAGCTAAAAGCCACTAACAAAATCTACAAATAACATAATGGCCGATGTCTTTTTAAGTGGTCTATATTCATGATTTAGCACACTTTGTAGAGGATACAAGCAATTGTTAGTCTGTTCTCATTTTCATTTGACAGACAAATTTTGTACTTTTACAGTAGCAAAAAAAGTTAGGTCTTGGACTTCCAAAGCTGAATGATGAGGCAGAAGTACCTAGATCGCACTGAAATTCGGCTGGAGTTGATCTTTAATGGGAGCAGGGCACGTGTCAGTATTTCACTCCAATATAGAGCATTTAGCCCCACAGTTAACTTTTTTCTTCTAACTCCCACCAGTGTAGTAGGATTTCCATATAAGCATTATAAAATGAATTATGAACTCAGTTCCCATTTGCGTTCTCCATTGGCCTGTATTCAAACAGCCCTGATGATGGCTGATTTTCCTCTCTAGCTATACATGTTTCTTGCTGAATATACAATATATGATCAGGACGAGAACTGCACTGAGGAGTTTCTGTCCAATTATAAGCCACAGGTCTTGGTGATGTTAGAATCTCAAGGCAATGGAAAACATTAAATATCTGATGGTGAAGGTGCTCTGCATGAGAAAGTTAGTGTTGGTTGTGCTTTTGAAAAGAACATTTTTATAACGAAATATTTATTTCTCAAACTCAGGGATATTTCTAGGTGAAGAAAAAGCAGCCATGCATCATGGCAATGGCAATTTTAGCAGCCCTTCTTTCAGCATCAAAGCCATATCCATTCCATCAGTTGTTCCTGGCTAAACTCTTTGTGAAACTGATGGCAAACAACAGGCCCTATAGATGTCAGTCATCAAAATAAAGACTCCTGGAATGAAGGACAGTGGATATAATCTGTGATTTTACCCAAAGAATGAGGCTGAAGACCTCTGTGAAAGGAGAATAAATATAGCCTGCCCAGAAATGCGTATCATTAATACATCCCAATCTTATCTATCCAGTGCTTTTGCAGAATACTGAAAATTTGCAGGGAAATAAAAAAAAACCCAACCACATGTGATGTGATAACTTACTCCTGAGGAAATGTATGAACGGCTTCAGAAACCTCATTACATAGTCAAGTTCAGGCTGGTGGATTCTGCCAAGCTGAACCAAATGCTGTTCCAGAGGAGCGCTTGCAAGTTCTTCTAGTTCATTGATGTCATAGGACTTTCCTAGTGAAATTGCAAGGAGCACATAGCCTTGGCATTTAGCTTGCAGGGAAATTTTTTTTAATGTTTCTTTGTCCCATTGACTCGTTTTTCCAGCAGATATAATGATGATAAGTTTGACTGGCCTTGGATTGGGAGCCCCTGAGAAAATGTTAGCAATGGTCCATTGTATGGCATAGCCGACAGCAGCCTCTCCATTCAGCTGTTGAAGAGATTCTTTAATATATCTTCTTATTCGGTCTTTACTGCGGTAGGTAACAAAGTCGAATTCTTTCTTTACTGGTCTCTTCCCTAAACCTGCCCTGAAATCTGACAGTGCATGGCTCACCACAGCTATTCTGTCCCCTACAACAGATGTTTTTGGATCCAAGGAAATGTTGAATGTAGTGACTGCTTTGCTCATGAAGTCTTTGACTTGCTCAAATTCAGCACCACTCATTTTCTGTGAACTATCCAGAATGAAGGCAGCATCCACGTATGCCCTTGGTAAATGGGGCCTGGGTTGCTCACAAAAACTATCTGGTTTACATTTGTCTGCAAAAGAATGTAAAATTAATTAGCATTTTTTTAGACAAATCAAAAAGCAAACATGTAACAATGAATGTGATCACAGACCTAAAGTGTCAGAATGGCCAAATAAAAAAGAAAAAAAGAAAAAGAGAACAAACCCACTAGAAAGACCTCAATGCATGTCAGGAAAATAAAGGCTGACTCAAAACACATAATTATACATCGGGTTCTGCAAGACAATCGGTGCTCTACTTCCTACTGAAGTAAAAAAAAATATCACAAGAATAGAGCTGATTACATTATAACTGGGTTTTTTTTGGACAGGTTTACAAAAAAGCAAGATGTAGAAAAAATGTGAAACCAGGTGCTTACTTCCCATTAAAATCAACAAAACCCCCAAACTCTCCTATTTACTTCAGTATGTATGTGACAAGGTATTTAACTTTTTGTTAGGACAGAAATCACTACACACACCAATCATAGCAACTTTTTATTGCTTGGGCAACATGTCAGAATGTATTTATGTGGCTATTTAAATAAAAGTTTTATTCCCAACTAATACAACTGCTGGAAGCCTTTTGAGGAAACCTTTATTATGGCACTAAGATAAATCAATGCTTTTTTGAAAAAGCACTTTGGGTCAAGAAAAGAAATGTCATTTTCAGAACTGCAATTTTCCCCTGTATTTTAGAAATCATAAGGGTCAATCTTCACAATGATGTTCTTCACAGAAGGGAGTCTTTGTGATACTGGTGACCTTCACCAAATTATTGAGGACTCTGGTCAGGTATCAAAGCTCATCAATATTCCAAAAATTACAAAATTACTGCAGTCAAGACTTTAAAACATTTGGAAATCTTTTAAACTACTTTCCATGAAAAGTAACTCCACTCAGACTCAGAACATACAATTAGACTGTCCAGATTCCAGCACAATAACCAGTCTTTCTCTCAAGCTGTTAGGTGTGCTAATAGCTGCTGCGCTGCACAGATTCATCAGAAAGAAGTCAGGGGACCTCACATGCCGTGAATGTCAGACCATTAGCTGAGTCACAAAATGAGATATTCCTTGTTAATACTTCACCTGTCTTTCTGACTGCTGTGTGTCCCAGGAGGAATACATAGGCGCACTGTTCAGCTTTACATAGTGATGAAAAGACCAGAAATGATCTTCTGAAGAATAAGGAAAAGGAAGGAGATAAGGATCTAGCCTACTTGTCTTCATCAGTCTGAGAGTCTACTGGTTTCATAGAAGGAGGCATTGATTATCACTGCTACAGCTTCTTAAAGGTTAGTAATCTTTGTCATGCAGGATTTTAAAGCTGAAGAACACTAGTAGCCTTGCTCTGTTACATTTAATTAACACTTGCTTTTAGGATGCAATTCAAGTAAGTGCATTCTTTTCAACCAGGCATTCTGGTCAGACAAGGGTTAAAATACCCTGAAAGAAAAGCATGTGCTCATTCGAGGTAAAAGCTCCCAGAAAGACAGGAGTAAGGAAATGGCTCTAGATTTTAACACCACATTTGATATAGCTTAAGGTGGACAAACACGTTCTTCCAATTTAAGTATTTTCCCTTGAAATGGATTTAGCAGTCATGATGATGCAGGTGACAGGTTGCCTAGGTTGATAGATAATGTTCACTGGAAACAGATTCTACTTTAGGAATTCAACACATCAATAAGAAACAAGGCCAAATAATTTTGCCAGGGTTCTGTATGACCAGAGCAATGCCTCAGCCCTTTTTCTTATCACACCGCTCCTCACTAGGCAACTCTACACAACACTGTATTTATCCTTTAATGACTATTCAAAATACTGTATTGGTCTTACCATAGCACAAAGTGCAGAGCTGAAATCTTCGTAAAGCTTCATTATAGCGTCCATCATGAACATTTAGCACCTGGAACAATCCAGAATCCTCCATCTAGAAACAAAAAATAAAGATGGCAGGTAAGTACTGCTGAGTAAGCACTCTATGATTTCTTGCTGGGGATGAAGTGTAAATTTAGCACACAAACTTGGCCCAGACAACGCATTGCAGGGGAGGGAGTGGAGGAGAAACATGCACTGCAGACAATTAGTGGACGTATCCCAGCTGAGGTAATCTCATATAGACTTGCTCTTAATTAAGACTTAGGATGAGATAAAACCATTTTTCTAGCATTATTGTGAAACAAGCGAATTCATATGTATCTGTGTCAATGCTAGAGCCTCAGTTGACAGATCCCAGTGGAAGTTCTGTGTTCTCAGAGTCTGATAAAACGCATGACATACATACAGATTTTCAGATGTAAAATATTTAACATGGTCAAAATGTCTGGCAAAAGCTTCAGCTAGAAAAATTATCTACAGAAAAAAGCTAACTAAGCAATCTGAGCTGATGGCTGTGTCTCAGACATGCAGCGATCCCTTGCAAAGCTGGGACATATCTAAAACACTACCCAGGGTTTCTGATACCGGATTTCTTGTCCTCTTTAAAATATTACTTCAACGTTTGGATTTGAATGCAGCTTTTTCTTCTTAAAATATTTTTAAAAGCTACCAACGGACACAAGGGGAAATCAAATCATGTTATTGACAAAAGGCTAAACATTTCATAAACATCCATACACGTGTTTAGATATATGTATTTATACATATGTATCATTTCCACACATTATTATATATTACTAAACTGTGAATAAACTGTCATAAAGACAGCCAATGAAGTCTGGCATACACAGGAAACTGCACAGAGCTTTGACATTCTCCTAAAAATAAGTTCCTTATCACACAGACACTCTGGTTCTGCTAGATATCAATATTTATGCACCTCATGGGAAACAGACCAGAATGCTTTTTATAGTACTATTTGTCTGTATTCATAAAACCTCCATGTTTTCTTGTGTCCTTGTGCTGAGGCACAGACCCCTCAACGGATATATCTGCCTGGGTTCTCTCACAGCTTAAAGGGACGGGCAGTGATAAGCAGTGATAATGAACAGTTAGCTTTATCCACACCAACAACACTTTCAAGAGCTGTGGTTACTTTGGGGAAGTAACTAATTTCTTTCCTTCCTTCTGTCCTTCCTTCTTTCCCACTATCCACCATCACAGTTCACCTTTCGGGATTTACTCCAACAAGAACTTTCTTCAGAATAAACACAAGGAGGATTTTTGGGTTCACTATCATAAATAAAGGGAATGTAATGACCAGAATAGCATCTGTCTAGGTCAAAACTTCTGGGAGGCTTCCAGGTCATTGGGTATCAGCTTTTTGGATGGCTTCCATCCTCACTCATGAACTTTTTATCCAGACAACTGTTGTTTTTCCTTACCAAAAGATCTGAAACAGCAAGACTAGTTATTTGGTTTTGCCTGTGCCCTACCTGTGCCTGCCCTTGCATGCCACTCCCTCTGCTCTAACAAATGCTACTTGAGACAAACTTCCTTACATTTACAGGAGGAAGAAAGACAGATTACTTCCCATCTGCCTAGGGTGTGACTATTGTCACAGAGGAAGTAGCAGCAGCTACTAGTGGCACCTTGTGGTGATTTTGCAAGGTGACCAAAGTTTAAATCTGTGCTGGATCCCTGAGTACATATACCTTAACCACACTATATAATCTTTTATAGCAACATTTTAAAGTTAAATTTTTTAATTCATTGGTTTTGGAAAGAAGTGACGCCTTTCTAGATTAAGACAATGAAATAAAATCTAGTGAATCTGAAAAAAGTGGCAGGTCAGATCCTGCTGGGCTTGCTCTCATGAGGAGGTCTGAGGCATATGCACAAGAACACCCCTTTGGCATTTTCCAGATGAATCCCACTGCACCTAATATAGTATCTATGTGTGATGTGCAAGTCTTTTCCCCAGATAATGTTATTCAATTACACAAGTCAGAATAAAAACCTAATGGGCTAAAATAATCTTGGACATCACTCCATGAGTTTCAACAGCATGTTAGAGAAACATAACCTAATCAATTAAAAAAAAAACCCAACAGTTTTACTTTTTATAAAGTAGGGAAGAAAGGAAGAAATACATCCTTCAAATTCATAAAATCCTTCCTATGTAGCAGTAGTATAATTTCTGCAAGGTCATGTATTATTTTTGGTGAACATTAACACAATACAAATCAATAACTCCATTTTATTCATGTAAAAATTTTCCATGTCTTCCTCACAATTCTTTTTTCATATATCCTTTCTCTCATTCCTCATCAGACAGAAAAATAATCTCTCAACACAAAATTTATAGTTATTGCACAATCTTTTTTACATGATTCCATAGAAATACACCCTCACGCAGTAACATATTCTTTAATGCCAAGTATATGTCATTGAATTTGGACCTTTCTGTCTAAAATGCAATTACATGATTTCCTAAGACATTTATAACACATAAATCACATTTCCCTGTCAGACCACTTGGCAGTATTAGATGAAGTGCTACAGTTATGAAATCCTTTCTAACATTTTTTCTTTACAGCATGTAACCAGAGCCTAACATCCTTTCAGAAACTAAACAGCAGAAGAATAAAAATTAATCCATATTTAAGTGAACTTGCATGATACAGCATGCATTATTCTAGAGCATAAAGTCTACCTGCAGTACTTGTACAAAATACAAAAAGAGCAACATGACTACTAATAATTTTGAGCTTTATTACTTAAAATATAAGAAAAAGGCAGAAACCGCCTTAGAATATGTTTTGAATTTGTATTTGCTGCTGTATGGGCACCATTGATTCACCTCATACTTTGCAAGAGAAACAGGTGACTGGAAGATTTTGAAGTCATCAGTGATAAGTGCCATCTACCTTAATAACGTAATTCTCATAATTGATTTTGCAACAATGGATAGGAGAGATCTGCAATGTGGGCCGCAACATCCAACTAAGTAGCCAGGCTACTCAGCTGAACTATGTCTTCCAGCTCCAAAGACTTCCTATGCTCACGCTGTTTCAGTTTCTCCTTTGTGAAAATGGTGCAAGAATTATGCCAGATGCACTGCCTCACAACATACCTTTTCCCGGTGTCCCTTCCTGGCACTGTGCTCATAAGGCAAGATTGAAGAAGCCCATTATTGGGCTTTCACCCATTTTCTTTAGAAAAGTGTCAGAGAAAGGGCAGTAAGATCACAAGAGGAAAGGCACATGAGGTGGCAAGGTGCTACTCATGTTCCTGAGAAGTTACTTTGTAAAGTGAATGTGCATTCACTCATAGGTAAAAGTATGACAGACACATCTACTTACGAGAAGATTGCTCTGCACCAGAACAGACAAGCAGAGGCATTTTACAGTTTTTCCGTTGAAGCAGAAGCTCCACACTATTCCTTCTTCACCCAGTTCCTCACAATAAGGAGCCTCATCCAATATGAGGCAGCACAAAGCAAAACAGGACATCTGCCAGGCACACAGCCTTGAGACAGAGTACCCTCACAGAAGTTTATTCAGAATGATTCCTCATACATATAGCTTCCCAGAAGCCCATGAAAAAAGAATGGAGGAAAGAATTTAGCACCATTCTTGATCACGAACACTTTCACAAGCAATAGAAAGATGATGCTGGACAGAGATGTACTTTTGAGATGCACATCTCTGTACATCACTAAAGATGGCCTGTTTTCTAGATTTTGTATTTAAACATCCACCTAAGGGTCTTTACTAAGACAGTACAGTGCTGGTAACCTAAGGTTTTAGGAAATCACTCCTACTCTCACAGAGTTCCAAACACATTGATCCACAATGTTCCCACAGACGTTTCAGTGGTTTTAGGGCACCTCCACGATAAATACTAAAAAGAGTACGCACCTTGAACTGCCATAGATATTTCTATGACAAAACTCCAGCCAATGTCTGCCATATTCTAGAATACTGAAAATCCAGTCTACAAACACAACTCTACTCCTAACTTTGTGTCCCCAAGTATGTGATCTCATTTCATTTGTAGAAGCGATGGTCAGGACAATTGTTTTAAAATTAGGGAAGGAACTTGGAAGCAAAGAGAAAATGGAATAGGCAGGACATTATCCACCCCTTATTCCATACCATCTACACCATGCCCAGATGTTACAGTTCCCAATGAATTACCACCACTTTCCCCTGTCTATATACATATGTACATATATACACATACAGATTTAATTCCCATAGTCTATGGGCATCCCTCTAAAATGTTCATTACTGTGGGCTCCATCTGTGAGAACAGTCTCTCAGGGCGCGTGAGATGGTGTGTGGTGCTGGACCGGTGCGTGCTGTATTCGGAGCCTGTGGCTGGTATACCTGGTGCAGCCCATGTCCATGGTCCGCGGGTTGAAGATGTCAATCTCAAGGAAGTTGCTGGGCGCCAGCTGTTGAGGTCAGTCCTTGTTGCATCATCACTGCACTTTACTCAGTCTCATCAAAGTCCATCTGTCATTGGTTTGGGTGATTCTTACTGGAATATCATTGATAGCAATCATAGTAATGATGACATACAGTGGCAGGGTTATTTAGCACTTAAAAAATCATAAAATTTATTCATTGGCTATTCTCACCCAAAATCAGATCCCCCTGAGGTACGCATCAGACATCCCCATCCTCCCGCATCACCCACCAAGTGCACCCAGGTCCTTGTGCAAAAGCAATCCCACAGATGGGTTTGCCTCTGCCTGAGGCAGACTGTCTTCCCTAACATATTCTTCATGTGCACTACAGGGACTTTATCCCCTTCAACTGTACGTGGAATTTTTGACTGGGCAGGGCCAGCTCGATTGGCAGATCCCCTGGTGTT